AGAGTACATATTTTCTTTCTTCTGTTTAGTAACACATTTTCAATGTTTCATCTGCGTTTGGCTTGATGGAGAGATGTTTATTGCTAAACATAGTTTGCTATTTTTAAATGTCATTTTTTTTTGGCAGTGCACATTAGGAGAGAATTATATTTAGATCAGACCAAGTGAATTGAGACCTTTAAGTAAAGTCACTTTGTTCAAGAATCATTTGGTACACAATTTCACAAAACAACTGAAGTAATTAGCACATCATATTTTATTTCCATTTTTACATGGTTCTCTGAAATACTTGATTCTTACTGGTAAGTTGTGCCCATTCAGGGGTCAGATATGCAATACTTTTTCCCCCATCCATTTCTCCCATAGCAATTTTCAAGTCTTTGTTAAAGCATTATAAGCCATCAATCAAATCAACTACAGAGTGGGAACATTACAAACTTTAAAGCAAAAAAAAAAAAAAAGGGGGATTTGGAAATTTGACAGAGAAAGACAAAGGTGTAAAACTGTGTACTTAACTGCTTTATTAAGTGAAAAAAACTATAATCCCATGAAGAAATTTTTAATAAGTAAAAAATAGGGCTGCACGATAAATCGCATGCAATATTTAAAGGCACAATATGTAAAAAATTTTTATTAAAATATCCAAAAACCACTAGAACGGTGTTATATATTTTGCAGACTTGTGTACTTGCATTATCCCAAATGTTTCGAAGAATGTTTAAATCCAGAGAAATAAGCAATTTTAACTAGTGACACGGACCGTGTCCATAGTGTCATTGTGTCGCCTGCCAATGACGTCATAACCCCTCGATTTCCGGTTTTGTTTTGTAGAAAACATGGAAACACCAAAGACACTTTAATATGTTGTGTGTTTTATTAGACCGGTGACGACTGCACAGAGTAGCATTATAACAGTACTTTCAAATGTATCTAGTATGATAAAACAGTGCTGCTGGAAGGTGCGGAAGCGGTCAACTGTGGCATAATAAAAGCTCCGCTGCTTTCGAGCCATGTGTCACGCTCGTTCAGCGGCCTCGTTTCGCTTTGACGCCATTCAGCTTCATCCTGCTTCATTCTACTACGTTAATAAATCATTAGCTCATCCATGAACATGATTTCTGCTTGAGTCCCGTCGGATTGCATCGGCTGTGTAGATGAAGACGACAACTCCCATGATTCCACACTCAGTCATAGCGTCATCAAACTACACCTTTGTCTATTTGTTTATTTTGAATACGCGCCCTCTAGCGGCGAAAATGACATATTGTGCCTTTAATGCACATCTTGTCAGTAAAGCCGCTTCTGTAATCAGCGGTAAATCTCCATCACGTGCGTGCTTTCACATGAAGCAGCATTTTCTACACAGAGCCATTGTTCACTGACAAGTTGCGCAAAACCACGATCATATATGCCTTTGATTAACAAACTTGTAGCTCACTGTAGGTCTACAAAACATGAGACAAAATTTATGCGTGAGTGTTTATGTTTTTATATTGTTCTAAGGTTATATATGCCTCTTTCCCCCCAGATTGTACAAGAGATCCGCAATCGCACCATAAGATCGATGTGTGGTCAGAAGAACATGCCTCACAGCCTGTGGTCTCTCAGTCCGCTGCAAAGGAAGACTCTCCTCCAGCACATACTAGTAAACGACGAGCATCGCTTCCTGTACTGCTACGTCCCCAAAGTGGCCTGCTCCAACTGGAAACGAGTGCTGAAAGTACTGAGCGGTGCTCTAGCCAACATAGACGTCAAAGTGAAGATGGACCATCGTGCTGATTTGGTCTTTCTTTCTGACTTTCCGCCCGAAGAGATTCGTCATCGACTACGGCATTATTTTAAATTCATGTTCGTGCGAGAGCCGATGGCACGCTTGCTTTCAGCCTATCGTAACAAGTTTGGCGAAATTAAGGCATATCAGCGGAAATACGGTGCGGATATCATACGCCGCTATAGAAAAGGCTACGCAAAGGATAAAAAAATAGCAGGAAATGACGTGACCTTCACAGAGTTTGTGCGTTATTTGCTCGACGAAGACCCGGAGCGGATGAACGAACACTGGATGCCCATTTACAACCTGTGCCAACCCTGCGCCATAGAATATGACTTCATTGGCTCGTACGAAAGGCTGGAGAGTGACGCCGCTTACGTTCTGGAACGTGTCGGAGTGCCGCAACACGTACGCTTCCCTGAACGCCAGACGTGGTACAAACCCGTTACCAAAGAAACGCTGCATTATTACTTATGCACTGTGCCACAGAAGTTTCTCAAAGAGCTCATGCCCAAGTATATTTTGGACTTCTCTCTGTTCGGCTATCCTTTACCCAACACAACCACTGAATACTGTAGGCATTAACAAAGGCATTGGGTTTATACCAGATTTGTGAGACTGTCTATAATCTTTCAATATGTTAATATTTTTTAACATAGATTTTTTTTTTTTTACCTGTACAGAATTGAAAATATATTTGAATATAAGCCTCAGTACAGTGTATTTGAGAGCTATTTAAGTTCAAGCCACTATTTAAAACTGGAAATACTCAATCAGCTATTTTTATTCATGAGATGCAGTAGGATGTCCATATTAATGGGAATAAAATGAAGAACATTGTGCTGTGCGCAAAACTATCGTGAGAGTTTTATATTAGTAAGCACAAGCTTCCACCATTTTCACTTGTCATTGTAATATTAAAGTTTCCAGTGTTTTTTGATTATTTAGATAATCATTACCTCTGCTGTCCCTTGTGATTTTGCTTATTAATCCTTTTACAAATAGAAATGTGAAGCTCATAGCGAGAAAATGAATCTCCAAATAGCTTTTGAAGTCATTCCTATCTGTATCTAATGAATTGTGTTGAGTTTCATAGGACCAAAACAAATATTTCTGACAAATATTTCAGTATTTCCTTCCCATCTGCCATTTCCTCTGAAAAGATGAGACTCTGAGTTGAATCCCTTAAAGGGGTCATAGGATGCTACATGCACTTTTACAAGTTGTTTGAACTGAAATGTGTGTTGGCAGTGTGTGTACACAACCACCCTATAATGATAAAAATCCACCCCGTGTTTTAAAAAAAAAATCTGGTTTAATGTTTTCCCCTTTCTCAAATCGAGCCGATCTCAGATGCCTGTCTGTATGATGACACACAGACAGGCCCCTCCCACGATAGTTTGATTGACAGTAGCGTTTCAGCACAGACTGGACTGGTGTCTTACCTTAGACCCGCCCTGAGTGAGCTGTCATCAGTCTGCCATTGTTTCACAGAGCAGATGTAGACAAGAATGACTCCCAGGGCTCTACAGTGCGACCATTTCAGTCGCATTTGCAACTGAAAACTACTGCGTGTGACTATGAAATAATATTTAGGAGCACCTGTGCGACAGCTTTTAATGATTATTAAGGGAGTTTGCAAATGTGATTGATTTAATACAACAGTTCATTAAACAAGAAGTTAATATTAATTTACTTATATTGTGTGACAACAACATTGCCTTATTTTGCTCTATTTCGTCAACGAAAATAGTAAAAAAAAAGTAACAGCTGAGCTGCTGCGCATCTCCATTCAAACACAGCGGTGATTCGTTTATGAATTAACTGCGTTCAATTACCCATTCATAAAGACAGTCAGGTACTTCGTTCCTGAATGAATCGGCGTTCGAACCAATCAATTGAATGAATGATTCAGTGATAAAATCAGTGAATTGACGCCACCTGCTGGCAGTTTAAGTTTTTAAAGTATCTTTTCTGTTATTTAAATAATTTCTATATTCAAAATTGTATATTTAAAACATTAACCTCAACATGAATTTATGAATTTAATTGCACTCATGCGACCTCTGAGCCTCATTAAACGTCTGAAAATACACCTACAAGCCACTTGTGTGTTCTTTTGTACCATCTCTGTAGCATAAATTTATTTCTTAAATACTGATTTCATTTGATTGGTAACTTATTCTTATTCTACTTGTTTTTATTGAACAAGAAATGTTAAAAAGCTTATAAATATATATATTTTTAATTTGACATAAAAGATTACATACTTTTAATAAAGTTAGAAAAATGACATTACAAAGGTAAAAACAAAATTCCCTATAAATCACTTTGAGTCAAATATGACCTCGTAATGGGAAGGTTAATTTTTTATCAGAATTTTTGATTACTGATTAGAAGGTGCTCGTAAAGTTTTGACCGTCCTCCTAAATTTTTTTAATTAGGAGCACAAGCGCTCCTAAAAAGAAAAGTAAGTGTAGAGCCCTGACTCCTAACAAGTGATTGAAGTGTTCTGTTGTTGGATGTAATAATGAACATAGCATTCGGCATTTACTCCTGACATCTGAGCCGCTGAAGACACAGTGGGTGTCCTTTGTTTCTGAAGGGAATTCTCACCCGATCTACATAAATGCGTCTTATGCTCACGCGAATCATTCATGATCCAGCCTCATCTACAGAAGAAGTGAGTATAATGTTTTGTAATGAATCTTTGCAAATCGTCTTTCCTAATAATGTGCTAATTAGCAAGTTTCACGATGAATGCGGCTAAAGTAAACAGTCTCTCTGAGAGCGGCTCGGAAGAGAGGGGCGGGGTCAGCAGAGCTCATTAACATTTAAAGTGAAGTGCTACAAAAACGGCTTGATCTGAAAAGAGCAGTTTTTGACCAGGTAAAAAAGGGTGTTTTTACACTACCATTGAGAAATTTTAACCAAACTATGTTACAGACTTTTCAGTAAGACCCTAAAGAATCATATCAACTTGTGGAAAATGGGAATCATATGACCCCTCTAAGAGATTAAGAGGAATGCAGTTTCACATCCAAAAGCAGAAGTACTATACAATGAGGAAATAAAAAACCTTTGAAACCCACAAGCTGGATTTCTTTGGGTAATGTTTTTTTTCTTGGTCTGAGAATAATGTTTATATTAAAGAACTAAGCCAGTAACCAGCTTATGGTGATTTGAATCCTACCGGCAAACCAAGAAAAAAGTGTGAGGATGTGAAAGCTCAGTTGACACCCAAAAGGTCAGTCTGGAAACACACAGGGATAATAGGAATTAAATTTAAAGGCTGTTCACACCAAGAGCTACGATAACTATAGCCATAAAGTATTAAAATCGTTATTTATGAGAATAGCAAAGATGAGCAACAGTATTGTTGGAAGCACTTTCATAACGTTTTTTTCAGAGATGCTTGTCTGTGCAAACGCTACCATGATGCTGGGATGTTACGAGTGGTTCTCAGCCAAGCTAAGTTTTTAGTTCTCAGAACGTCCTGGCAATGTTAATTTTTGCCCAGAACCGTATGCTAACGCAATGTTAGGGGAATGTTTTGTGTTAGCTGGGAGGTTGTTGCTAGTTGGGTTCTGAGTGGTTTCTAATGCATTGCCAAGCCGCTGTTAGGGGCCATTCACACAGAATGCATTTTTCCATTCCAATGTGCTGCTTTTCCATTTTCTTTGTAAACATGAGCTAAACGAATGTGTTCATTGACAGTCGCTCTAGCTTCTTGCATGATATGCCATTCATGATATGCAAGTAAGCACAACACATTTTGTGTGAACGGCTCTTTAGGGTGTTGTGGGTAGCTGCTTACAAGTTAAGAGCTGAGAAGAGAACTCGAGTCTCAATCATGCACTTAGCCTGATCACTTAGCCATAAAAAAACAACAAAAAAAGTAATTTGACAACACACTTAAGTAAACCCCCTCATTCATGTAGCAAATGGTGTAGAATGAATTACATACAATGTTATACTTAGTGTTGATGAGCAATAGCATGGCTAAGCAAGTATCAATAATTAAATAGCAAAAACAAACATGAGAAACATTCAAAATGAAGAAACGTTCAGCACATGTATCTGTTCACAGGCTGTTAACATCAAATAAAAGCTAAAAGAACAATTCAGGAAGGCATTAATTATTGTACTCCAGAATATCAAAGACATTCTTATGGATTTTTTTCTCCTATTTTATAAAGAAAAAAAAGAACATCAGACCAAATGGAATGTCACTCTCTGATATCCAAACACACACAAAAAGATTACATTATTAATAACAGTACAGAGCCATTAATGATTAACAACAAAACTGAGACAGATTATATTAAAAACTATTCACGCTTTTAAGTTAATCAGTCAACATAAGTTTTATTATACATACACATATAAAACACAGGTTGTTGTGGTAGAGTGACATTAACACAGCCCTGAGTAACATGACCATATGAACTTTCTGAAGACCTCTTTGGTCACTTGCTTTGCCAGTTCATTTCACATCTCATTTCAGGCATGTTTTAGAACAGTTTTCCTCTTTAGTTGAACTTGTTATTAAAGGTCTGCCATGTAAAGATGTTGCAAATGCATAAATAATTTTATAAGATTAACATCTTAATTTTTTTAACATACAAATGAGAAATGTTGGGAAAAATGCAATGATACTTTTAATATGAAACCAAACCACCAGTAGGTAGCGGCAAATTACTGTTTTAATGAATGAGTGGGTCATTTAGTCGTTCTTACAACCGATTCGTCCAAAAAAATGACTGATTTATTCAGAAACGAGGCAAGTGACTGTCTTTATGAATGGCTCACTGAATCATTGACTCGATTTGTGGATTCATTCATTAACGAAACACTGCTGTGTTAATGTGAAACACACAACAGTTCTGCTGTGGCTTTGATTGTAACTATTTTCGTTAGCGAAATTGAGCAAAAACAGTCAATATTGTGTCTAAAATGTAAGTCACTTTATTTTAACTTGTTTATTGAACTACTATTGTATAAAATCATTGTCACATTGCAATCATGATGATATTCGGGGAAACATCTTGGTCATGTAATGTATATCATATATTATTAATATAAATTTTTTCTACCGCAGTATGCATCTATAGCTTTCTGTGAGGTACTTTGTGTGTGCTGTTGCGCTCATTTGTTTTGATTTCTGCACAAGTCTCTCAAGACAGACTGCGTGAGCCTTATGGCACGACATAAATTCATTATCAGTCGCCGTTTTCACTGATTGCAATAAAATCAATCATTCTCGTGAGAAAATTTTTGGTAGCGACGTTTCAGTGCTCCCTAGTTATTTTTTTTATTGATGTTTTAATCAGGCTTCTTGTGCGGTCAGGCAAATAAAACTCTCTCTTACTTGCCCTTTAAAAAAAATCTACTTGTCCCGGACAAAGCATTAATCGAGGCCTGTTCCTCCATAGTTTGCTTAATGCTTAGGGCTATTGTAATACTATTACTATAGCCCTAAAGTTGCACGTATTACAAACTGCAAACTTTGTGTCTTCTTCATTTACAGTGAAGAACTTCCACGTGAACGACATGTTAAAGGGGTCATATGATGCGATTTCAAGTTTTCCTTTCTCTTTGGAGTGTTACAAGCTAATCGTGAATAGATAAGATCCCTAAAGTTGCAAAGACTAAAGTCTCAAACCCAGAGATATTCTTTATAAAAGTTAAGACTGGTCCACGCCTTCCTAAAACGCCTCGTTTAAACACGCCCCACATGTCTACGTCACTGTGTGGAAAGATTTACATAACGCCGCCCAAATGTTCACGCAAAGAAAAAAGGCATAACTTTGATTCTCACTGTAGTATTGCAGTCTTGCCGAATTGGGCTACTTTAACACTGTTGCCATGGGTTGTTTTTCATGTCCGCAGGTTGAAGCGACATCCAATAACATGATATTTATCACCTGGAAAGCTCATTTTAGCAGGGGAACCCCACCAAAAAAACCTGTATTTTAACCCCTGGAATGCGATTTTTAACTGGGGACTCCCTCGAAACACGATTGGGCTAGTTTTGAGTAGTGATTGGGCGGGTTTTTTGTGAAAACCTGGCAACCCTGTAGTATTGTTGCCAAAATAATGTTCTTTTTTTAGCAACGTCATATGACCCCTTTAACATGCAGATGTGAGCGTAGCTGTGACATCAAAACGGACCGGCTCGGAACTGGCAGACTGACCGGCTGGTCACCGGTCCTGGCCGATCGATCGATGCATCTCTAACAGATGCATGAGAGAAAACAGGAGGGAAGAGACAGAACAGCTAATAATTAGATAAAGGTGCACTTGAGAAAATTAGAAGAGCGCAATACAAAGACACTGTTCTGACACACACCGATTTTCTCTTCTAGTTTGTCGATCTGTTGGTGAGCTGCCTGTAGTTCATTGGTCTTGACAGATAATCTGTGCTGAACATCTGAGAGCGACTGCTCCATCTGCTCCTGCAGAAGCCTAAACACATACACACATATGTGAAATGTCAAGCTGCTTAAGAATTTTGGGTACAACTATAGGCACGCATTTTAAGCACAACCAAGACAGGCAGAAATGTCTGTCTACAGCAGTGCTACACAAACAAACACGCACAGACCTGAGCGCACAGCTCTCGGCTCTTTGCTCTGTGGCCTCTTCTACATTCTGTAGCAGCACCGCTGACTGAGCCTTTAGCTCCTTCTCAACAGCAACATGACTCTCCTTCAGCACAGCCACCTGAGCACGCAGATCAGCCCTCTCTCTCTCCAGCTACACACACACACAGTAATGCATCACATTATGATACATTTACAGGTGTTTTTTACCTAAAAATAACCTTACATATAGGGCAAATTCATTAGTGTGCATAATTTTGCTCTACCCACAACGAGGCAAAGAGCACTTTGAAGGGTGCATTACATTATACTGACGTGTGCATTTTTGCTAAATCCTACATTCATCTAAACATTACTGACCCCAGAAGGTTACTCTCATAACATACAATCAAAACCCATGTATATAGCTTTTAGGTTGTTGCAAATATAAGTCAAATATCCAAATGGGTTTAATCCAAGTTTACTTTAACTCAGGTGCTGTTTTTCAGTGTGCCGTTTGGGGGTGGGGGAATCAAAAATATGCGCAGAAAGTGTTCCGCTAATAGTATACTTAGTATATTATACTTGGGTTCATGTGAGCAATTCAGGGTTTTAAAATTCTCAGGTCTCAAAAAAATAAATAAAAAGAACATCCCACCCAGGATCACCTAATGGTTAGAGAGTCGGACTCGTAACCTAAGGTCACTTTCACATGATCATAAATGGCAAATTACATATGACAGTCTAGTTAAATGTACACAGTGTCTTTTGGAAAGTATTCAGTTGCTCGCATTCATTTTCAACAAACCTACAAATAGCATCCCCTTCCTGCAGTGCCCATCAAGGCATTTGAAATTAGCCCAGAACTATCCAGACATGACAAAACACACTGGTAATGTTTGTGAAACTATGAACGGTGCAAGCTCTATTAGTGTAGTACCATCTCAATGGTGTTCTCCTGGTGAAGAATCCTGATCTCCTCTGGGTCTTGGTCTGTCAGAGCTGTGCTCTGGGCAACCTGCAAAGACAGAAAGAAGCTTTATCTTGGCAACTCTCCTTTTAACACACAGCTAAACTACTCACCCTACAAGTGAACTACAGTTTAGAAGTGCTGTGTGGAATTTCAAACACACAGTTCTAACCACAGAAAACTGCTTGCACATACTTAGCAGCTATTTATGGTCTGCTAAAAAAAACAAAAAAACAACAATTTGCAAACACATACACACACCTTGAGTCTGTCTCTAAGCGCATCTCTCTCAGCAGTAACTCTCTGGAGTTCAGCTTCAGTTTGTTCCCTGTCATCTCTGATCCTGTGCTGGAGTTCAGAGGACTCAAGCGCCCTTTGGACACGCCTCAGCTCCTCTTGAGCCTATATTTAAAACACATGCACAACTATTCTCATGGAAAACAGCTAGATGTACCTTTTGGAGATACTCCACCCCAAAATACAAATTCTCATCATTTACTTATGCTGTTCCAGATTTCTTCTAACCTGCTGGTACTGAGAGCTGAGCTGGTCTCTCTCTGCAGTCAGTAGTTTAACTCTGGTCTGGATGTCCTCCATGTGTTTTCTCAAAGCCCAGCAGCACTGACTGTAGCTCATCCCTCTCCTTCAGTGCATGTGAAAGCTCTGCGTCACCATCTCTCTAAAAAATACAAAAACAGCAATTTGTTTCCCAGCAAGGTGTGACGTAATCATGTTTTTTGTTATTTTGGTAAATACTTTCTAAAATAATTGTTTAAGCAGGTGATTAAAGTGTCAATAATTAGTAAAATGGGCACAGAAAAAAAGCAGCCTTGTTGCAAAATCAGTTATGATGTATAAAAGGTAATAATATATGCATAAAATGTATCATAATAAATACCTATAATTACAAATTTAATTTTTTTAATATTTTCATAGTTTTTTTTACTCCATTTTCATTGACTTTTATATTTTGAAGTCATTATTTATTGAAAACCAAAAGGTATATTTGTAAATAGTAAGTTTATTTACATTTTATCCATGTGTCCATGGATAACAGTCCAGCAAAAGTGAGAAAAATTATATACTACCATGGCGCTGCTTTATGATTGTAGATCTCGCAAGAATGATTCAAACTGTGTGTAATCTGAATTTCACTCCCTGTTTAAACCACGTATCTTCTTGTAATTACAGAAGTAAATGTCAGCTCCTACCTTTCAGTGCCAGCTGCCTCGTCCTCTGGGGCTCCTCCCCCTGCCTGGACTAGGGGTGGGGCTTTTGTCTGTCCTGCCCCTAAGCAGACGGTATCGCTCCAGCTCCTGTGTGTAGTAATTTCTTTCCTCCTCTAAACTTTTCACAAAGGCATCTAGACGTGATACTGCTCTTTGCCACACATCCCATGACTTGCACGCATCTGCTCCAATTCTAGAATCATCTCCTTATCTAAAACAAACAGCAACAAAATCAGTTGAATGACAAACCACATATGTAAACACACACACACACATCACTCCACTCACAAAAAAAAAACCCACAAAGAAGAGTGTTACATCCACTGATCTATATATAATTCTCTATAATAGATCAGTGGTTACATCTCACCTGCCTGTGTCATTGCTTCTACTTTATCCTGAAGTCTCTTCTTGTCTTCTTCCAGAAAGTGTATCAGGCCCTCCATCTTGTCATTCTGTTCTTGAAGATCAAGCAGCTGATCACTCAGACGGTCTTTCACATAATCTCCCTCTACCATATCCTGCAACAAATCATTGCAAAAAAAAATTTTTTTTCACTGAATCTCCCACCCAAATCACACAGTTATTGTGAATGGTTATTGGGTGGTGCTGTGGACATGACCTGATGAGAGGCAATGGTGCTTGTGCAGCAAATTAGTTTCTATGTAAGCTCCAGGTGGTGCAAATGATTTTTAATTGGTTAATCTCTTTCTAGAAAGAAAAACTTGAAATCGCATCATATGACCCCTTTAATAAATAAATACATTTCATTATTGTTGTATTGTCTTTGATTTATTATTGTATTATTATTGCATTTCATTTCAAAATAAAAGCCTGGTTTCTGAAAAAAAGTATAAATGTTATTTACAATGCATACCTTTAATTTATAACTTAATTTTCAGATAAACACGGACACGTTTTTGTTTGTGTGTTAAAACTATTAATCTGCAAAATTACTTGAAATGACCATTTCTAATTAACACTATTCAAGTCCTTTCAAGGCCAGTAATAAAGTGTGAGATATCTAAAACAGCTATATAAAGAAGTACTTCCGTATAGTCAGAAATATTTTAATAGACATTGTAAAGTATTTACCCAAAGATGGTAAATAAAAACATACAAGCTTTATATCCACAAGCTATACTAAGCCATCCATGTCATATCAGGCCAGACAGAATAAATGCGCTGTTCTGAACCAGATGGTTAATTTAACAGCTCATTTCACATGCTGTTGTATGGACCCATGCACACACCCGTCTTAATGTAGCAATGACCTCCTCCAGGTTCTCTAGCTCCCGCTGTTGACGCTGAATCTCTTTCTAAAGGTAAAAACAGGGCCAGTGTAAGTATCACTACATAAAGCTAAATATTTAAAATATTCAAATCCAAGCATTGACACACTGACCAAATATTAACAATATAATCCTTATTTTACCAAGTATTAAATAGTAATAAATATAAAAATATAGAAGTATTATAATATCAAAATTTAAGGTGCTATACAGGTGCATCTCAATAAATTAGAATGTCATGGAAAAGTTCATTTATTTCAGTAATTCAACTCAAATTGTGAAACTCGTGTATTAAATAAATTCAATGCACACAGACTGAAGTAGTTTAAGTCTTTGGTTCTTTTAATTGTGATGATTTTGGCTAACATTTAACAAAAACCCACCAATTCACTATCTCAACAAATTAGAATACTTCATAAGACCAATAAAAATTTTTTTTTTTTGTGATTTGTTGGCCTTCTGGAAAGTAGGTTCATTTACTGTACATGTACTCAATACTTGGTAGGGGCTCCTTTTGCTTTAATTACTGCCTCAATTCAGCGTGGCATGGAGGTGATCAGTTTGTGGCACTGCTGAGGTGGTATGGAAGCCCAGGTTTCTTTGACAGTGGCCTTCAGCTCATCTGCATTTTTTGGTCTCTTGTTTCTCATTTTCCTCTTGACAATACACCATAGATTCTCTATGGGGTTCAGGTCTGGTGAGTTTGCTGGCCAGTCAAGCACACCAACACCATGGTCATTTAACCAACTTTTGGTGCTTTTGGCAGTGTGGGCAGGTGCCAAATCCTGCTGGAAAATGAAATCATCATCTTCAAAAAGCTAGTCAGCAGAAGGAAGTATGAAGTGCGCCAAAATTTCTTTGTAAACGGGTGCAGTGACGTTGGTTTTCAAAAAACACAATGGATCAACACCAGCAGATGACATTGCACCCCAAATCATCACAGACTGTGTTCACAATGCACGTTTTTAGCGAACCGTACTCAGGCCACCTCCCCGAGATGGTCTCTGTTCGGTTCGCTTAACTTCTGAGGGGTCTGAGATCGTTTGTGTGTTCACATATGGGCCAAAAACCATGCGAACCGCGCTCAGGCCCCTGAAAAGGACCAAGTGTGAAAACACCCTGAAACACAGTAGACATTGATAATATGCATTTATGGTGTAATTACTACATTTTCGTGTCAATCCATGTTCATATTTACAGCAAACAATGCGCTGTTACTTTAATTCAGCGTTTGCAGCGCAGCAAACATAGACTCGGTGCGGAAATGATCTCTGTCTGCGCTAATGCAGACGCACCGCTCCTGAACGCACTGCCGAACCGCAACCGTGTGTGCAGTGAACGCTTTAATCCGTTAATATGAGCGCGGAAAAAAATACACACCACATTCGCACTGCAAACGGAGTAATGTGAACCTGACATTATGTGTGTGCGCTCTGCGCTGCGAGTGTGCATGAGCGCACTGTCACCAGGAGAGCGCGCGAGAGCTGAATGGTTAAACAGTACTGCTTGATTAAAATTAAGACATTAATTAAAAAGTAATGCAAATTATAAACTTTAGTGACGATGTGACACTGCCTCGATTGTGCAAGTGACAATTCCTGTGTAAACTGTGCGGAGTGCAGCTCGCTTATATAGACAGACGCGCTGTGTGGTGATTTGAAGCCATTTGTGTATTTTGAGAGAGAAAGAGAGAGCGCGCGGTGATTCACTCGCGCTGTTTGTGAAATTACGTCTCTGCACAAGGTTTTCAAATTACTTTATAAGTTATTTAATGAAGAAATATGAACTGTACCTCACCTTCAGCATTACAATTATTTCACCCGCGCCGGACAGAGACTGAGACGGTGCCGCTGCATGTCGTGCCAAACCTCTCACGGCAGCGTCATCAGCTTGAGATCGGTTTTTTGAGACCACCGGTCAAACATCCCAACGTGATTATTGGCCGATAGTGATCGATAGCCGATCAATCGGAACACCCCTAGTAATTTGCAAATGTCTTAAAAGCATCAGTGAAATTATAAATAAGTAGCCATATTCCATAATTTTCCAGAAAAAAAAGCTGTTGAAAAAAGTTCATTAAAGGGGTCATCGGATGCCCATTTGATATAAGTTGATATGATTCTTTTGGGTCTTAATGAAAAGTCTATAACATACTTTGGTTAAAATTTCTCAATGGTAGTGTAAAAAACACAATTTTTACCCTGTCAAAATGAGCTCTGTTTTGTCGTTCTAGACCAGGGGTTCTCAAAGTCTACATTCAAAAGTCCAAATCTGAATTTTCATCAGTGTCAAAGGTCCGGACCGGAACAATTGGTTATTACAAAACTTGTTTTTAATAAACATACATAACATGCATAACAAAAAAACATTTTTCTCTTTTTTTTTTAAATAAAGTGCAAAAGTGGCAAAACAATTAATTTAAGTGTCAGCAATAGAGGTCGACCGATAAGGGTTTTTCTCTGGCCGATGCCGATATTTAGAAATCAGGGCAGCCGATGGCCGATATGTGATGCTGATTTTTTTGTCCAATATGTTTGGCCGATTTTTTTTCCTTCTTTATCTCATAAAAGCGAGTTTGAGTAAATGATTATTTCAGGCCACAAGATGGTAATAATAGTAGTAGTAGCCTAATTCATAGTAATAATACATGGCTCAAAGTACATTCTCAAAACAGTTCTGAAGCATGCTTTTTGTTTATGTTTGCTGACAGACACCAGCGTTTCCCACAGACTTGCAAATGCAAATTCATTCTCTGCCAGCAGGAGGCTCTGTTGGAGCCGAGACATATCGGTTTCCTATAGCGGTTAGTGTCCCCCGCACTTTTAGTAAAAGGTTATTCTGTCCCCCGCACTTTTAGTAAAAGGTTATTCTGTCCCCCGCACTTTGTTTTTACCCACCGCCGATATTTCGATATTTCCGCCCGTGTTCTCTGATTTGTTTATTTAGATTTGAGTGAACTAACATTCAGCCAATCACAAAGCGAATCATCTCTTGGGCTTAAACTACTTGTGTCTGTCATGAGCTTCAAATCTCCTGTTGCTCTCGCAATTTCACTTTGCTCTTTGGGCGGTTTGGGTGTAAAATGCACCCCAGAAAAAAGCAGATGATTACGTCCTTTTTCAAACACTGTAAGTATGCGTTATGTCACGATGACACAAATCACGCGATCGAATTGCTACGTTATGATTTGATCTAACGGGGCATCTAAACCGGATGCGAGTGATACAGAGACTGAGACGGTGCCGCTGCATGTCGTGCCAAACCTCTCACGGCAGCGTCATCAGCTTGAGATCGGTTTTTTGAGACCACCGGTCAAACATCCCAACGTGATTATTGGCCGATAGTGATCGATAGCCGATCAATCGGAACACCCCTAGTAATTTGCAAATGTCTTAAAAGCATCAGTGAAATTATAAATAAGTAGCCATATTCCATAATTTTCCAGAAAAAAAAGCTGTTGAAAAAAGTTCATTAAAGGGGTCATCGGATGCCCATTTGATATAAGTTGATATGATTCTTTTGGGTCTTAATGAAAAGTCTATAACATACTTTGGTTAAAATTTCTCAATGGTAGTGTAAAAAACACAATTTTTACCCTGTCAAAATGAGCTCTGTTTTGTCGTTCTAGACCAGGGGTTCTCAAAGTCTACATTCAAAAGTCCAAATCTGAATTTTCATCAGTGTCAAAGGTCCGGACCGGAACAATTGGTTATTACAAAACTTGTTTTTAATAAACATAACATGCATAACAAATAAAAAAAATATATTTTTTTTTAAATAAAGTGCAAAAGTGGCAAAACAATTAATTTAAGTGTCAGCAATAGAGGTCGACCGATAAGGGTTTTTCTCTGGCCGATGCCGATATTTAGAAATCAGGGCAGCCGATGGCCGATATGTGATGCTGATTTTTTTGTCCAATATGTTTGGCCGATTTTTTT